CTTAGTCACAATCGGTCGGTACAAATCTAATCCTTTCGGCGCGTTCTCTTAATAGCCCGAATCTCTAGCTCAGTTCGTACTCTTTACTGTCACAATATTCTTTAGTTCTTCAGCGTAGAAGGTATGAGTACGCCTAACTAAAATGTACTAAATTTTCTTGTAGTGTCAATGAGTTTCAAGCGCTGTTGTTGCTCAAAGTGTGTCGAAGTGTTATGCACAGCTTTGTTTTATATTTGTGTCGTTATAGGTACTACACAGCGATGACATCTCAAGCAAACGCTGAAAAAGAAGGGTAAGTGGGGAAAAAACGAACTGTTTTCATTGCGTCTTGTGCCTTTTTCAACTTCAAACTTTTCATTTCTCTATCATTTCTTTCGCAGTGTCCCGCCTGCGAAACGTTTCCGACATAATGAACACGTTGATCCCCTACATCCTGATCCGTCTCCAGTTGTTCATGTGCGCAATCTTGGTGCTCAGGTACGATTGTAATTCGTTCTTCGTGATGAGCAGCTCGTAGCAACGCGATGATCGCATTCTCGACAAATTCATTGCAATATATTTATCTTCTGCATAAGTGGTTTATTCCTACAAACAAAACACGCAGGAAAGTCATAGTTGTTAAGCCACTAAATAACCCCGGTCCTACCTCGACGAGTATGTACGCGGAGCAGGGCACGTCCTCTTCTGCCGTTGGGGGAACTTTTCGTGCTCCCCCTAAAATTTCCTCCTCTTGTACGACCCCTTCTCCCATACTACGTACCCCCAAATTCACCCTACTGCTCACCTTTTTTCCGTAGTTTCTCCTCTTCCCCTGTCTCCAAATATACAAGGAGAAGGTAGGGGTTATAACGCTTTATTGAACTGGAAAAAACCGGGGAAAGCAAGGACAGGGTTTCTCTCAAATGCTTTACTACCCCTCCCTACAGCAACCAAACATGACTCCCTTAACTGGACATCCATAACGTACCACGTGCCCTGACGGGAAGAACTCGTTCTCCGTGGCGCTACAATTCTCGAGAGAAGCAACTTACAGCGGGGATAGCCCCCTCAGTTTCAGTCACATCTCTGCTGTCCAGAAGAGCGGATGGTATGCTCTGACGTTGACTGAGTCATGTTAGAACATGTCGTGCTGTGTTGCTGGAGGGCGCAGACGAGCAGACATGACGTGGAGAATGACCCTTCTCGAGGCACACACACCTCCGCCGCGTAAGAGGCAGTACTCCTGCGATGCGTAGCTAATGACTGAACCAAAATCGAGTCTACCGCGCATCTGTGTGGAGCGCTGGAGGTCGGTTATCTATAGGAAGGATTGGAGCGCAGAGTTTCTATTATCAACAAATTATGCTTTCATGCAATAGAAGGAAAAAATGCGATAAAAGGAAGGGCCGGAGTCTTCGCCGCAGTTCTTTTCTGAGTACGGCAT